AGCCAAGATCACACCACTGCACTCCAGCCTGGGCAACAGAGCAAGACTCCATCTCAAAACAAAAAAAGCTACCCTTAACCAAGGTACTCTGGTACATTTATCTTCTCTTTTCATTATGTAACTCTTCTATATCTTAGTTGCAGTGCATTTTTATTGGTACTGCCTCAAATTCATTTTAGAAATGAATTAGATATAAATAAGAAAATATGAAACTAACATAGAGAAGATTGTACCCAAATAAGAATTCATAAATATTACTTTTCAATCAATAAAGAGGGATAAATGTAACAAAAACATCATAATAGTTTAAAAAAAAAAAAAAAAAGATGGGCTGGGAGCAGAGGTTCTCGCCTGTAATCCTAGCACTTTGGGAGGCCAAGATGGGGGGATTACCTGAGCTCAGGAGTTCGAGAGCAGTCTGGGCAACATGGTGAAACCCCGTCTCTACTAAAACACAAAAAAAATCAACCAGGCATAGTGGCAAGCGCCTGTAATACCAGCTACGTGACACGCTGAGGCACGAGAATTGCTTGAACCCGGAGGCAGAGGTTGCAGTGAGCTGAGATCGTGCCATCGCACTCCTGAGCAACAAAGTGAAACTCTGTCTCAATGGGAAAAAAAAAAAGATGAACTGAGATTTAAACCAAAGGTAAACAAATAATACTACTAACATTTGTAATGTTTGGTCTCTTTCCAATCAACAAATGTGATGGGTTTACTTTACCTTAATTTCTATCCTTGCTCTGTGAGGAAAAAGTTGTCCGATCATAGAAAAGTCAGTTCCTACCATGCTGATGGCTAAAAAAAACATATCTGTTTCTGTGAAAATAAAAGATTTAGAATGACTGAAAATTAATCCTATCAATATTTCAGAGAAAAGAAATCTTACAAAATTTGACAGTACTTAATTTTACTAGAAAGATCTCCATGGAATACCTAAAAACACCTTATTATAAATAAAAACTTTTCAGTATAAGAAATCATAGGCTGGGCATGGTGGCTCACGCCTGCAATCCCAGAACTCTGGGAGGCCAAGGCGGGCAGATCATTTGAGGACAAGAGTTGGAGATCAGGGCCAGTTGCAGTGGCTCATGCCTGTAATCGCAGCACTTTGGGAGGCTGAGGCGGGTGGGTCACCTGAGGTCGGGAGTTTGAGACCAGCCTGACCAACACAGAGAAACCCCATCTCTACTAAAAATACAAAATTAGCCAGGCATGGTGGCACATGACTGTAATCCCAGCTATGTGGGAGGCTGAGGCAGGAGAATCGCTTGAACCCGGGAGGCGGAGATCGCGGTGAGCCAAGATCGCGCCATTGCACCCTAACCTGGGCAACGAAAGTGAAACTCCATCTCAAAAAAAAAAAAAAAAAAAAGAGTTCAAGACCAGCCAGGCCAACATGGTGAAACCCCGTCTCTGCCAAAAATTTAAAAAAAATGAGCCGGGCATGGTGGCATGCACCTGTAATCCCAGCTACTGGGGAGGTTGAGGCAGAAGAATAGCTTGAACCTGGGAGGTGGAGGTTACAGTGAGCTGAGATGGCACCACTGCACTCCAGCCTGGGCGAAAAGAGCAAGACTCCACCTCAAAAAAAAAAAAAAAAAAGAAAGAAAAAGAAATCATACAAAAGCAGCTGGATTTTTTTTTTTAAGACATTCATTCTGCCTAGCTGATTTTATTCGAAGTACTCTGAAGAAAACTATGAGTCACAGTCAGGATAGGGTTACAGTACGTAAGCAACTAAGATGTGCTAAGCAGTATATAAAGAAAGTAGCTAGAAAAATACAAAAGAGGCCAGCCATGGTGGCTCACGCTTGTAAATACCAGCACTTTGGGAGGCCAAGGCGGGCAGATCAGTTGAGGTCAGGAGTTCCAGACCATCCTGGCCAACATGGTGAAATCCCGTCTCTACTAAAAACACAGAAATTAGCTGGGCATGGTGACATATGCCTGTAATCCTAGCTACTCGGGAGGCTGAGGAAGGAGAATCACTTGAACCTGGGAGGTGGAGGTTGCAGTGAGCCAAGATCGCAGCACTGCACTCCAGCCTGGGTGACAGAGTGAGACTCTGTCTCCTAAAAAAAGAAACCATTAACAGAAGTTACACCTCAGGAGAATAGGAACAGGGAAGTGAAAGATGGGAAGTATAGAATCTTTTTAAAACTACTGTTTTTAAAATAAAAATAGTAAGTGCCAACATGCAACAGATTTTTAACAGCATAATATTTATCTATAGAAACTTCATTATACAGTATTATCTGAGGTAGAACATTATTCACATTAGAAATATTGTATTGTTGGCCAGGCACAGTGGCTTACGCCTGTAATCCCAGCACTTTGGGAGGCTGAGGCAGGCGGATCACCTGAGGTCAGGAGTTCAAGACCAGCCTGGCCAACATGGTGAAATCCCATCTCTACCAAAAACACAAAAATGAGCTGGACATGGTGGCAGGCACCTGTAATCCCAGCTGCTCAAGAGGCTGAGGCAGAAGAATCGCTTGAACCCAGGAGGCAGAGGTTGCAGTGAGCCGAGATTGCGCCACTGCACTCCAGCCTGGGCGACAAAAGCAAAACTCCATCTCAAAAAACAAAAAAAAGGAAATATTGTATTGTTAATTTTGACTTAAATGGTATTTGTTGTACAGAGATTTGACAGAGAGGAACATTCCAGCCAAAATGACTATAATGTTAACTCTTAAAAAATATTTCCTTAAGCAGAACAGTGACTAAAAGAAACTTAAAAAAAAAAAAAAAAGAAAGAACAGATTCTGGGCAGGGCACAATGGCTCACATCTGTAATCTCAACACTTTGGGAGGCAAAGGCACGAGGATCACTTGAGCCCAGGCATTGGAGACCAGACTGGGCAACATATTGAGACCTCATTTCTTCAAAAAATCCAAAAAACAGGTCAGGTGCGGTGGCTCCTGCCTGTAATTCCAGCACTTTGGGAGGCCAAGGCGGGCAGATCACCTGAGGTCAGGAGTTTGAGACCAGCCTGACCAGCATGGTAAAACCCCATCTCTACTAAAAGTACAAAAATTAGCTGGGGTTGGTGGCAGGTGCCTGTAATCCCAGCTACTTGGGAAGCTGAGGCAGGAGAATCACTTGAACCCAGGAGGCAGAGGTTGCAGTGAGTCGAGATCGCACCATTGCACTCCAGCCTGGGCAAAAAGAGGGTAACTCCATCTCAAAAAAAAAAAAAAAAAATTCCAAAAAATTAGCTGGGTATGGTGGCACATGCCTGTAGTGCCAGCTGCTCTGGAAGGCTGAGGCAGGAAGATCACATGAGCCCAGGAGTTCCAGGCTGCAGTTAGCTATGATCGTTTCACTGCACTCCAGCCTCCGCAATCATCAAGACCCTATCTCTACTTTCTAATTTTTCAATTTGTTTGTAGAGATGAGGTCTTGCTTTGTTGCTCAAGTTGGTCTCAAACTCCTGACCTCAAGTGATCCTCCTGCCTCAACCTCCCAAAGTGCAGGAATTACAGGTGTAAGCCACTGCACCTGGCTGAGATCCAGCTGCTATAAAAAATAAAATTTTTTTAAAGATTTGTAAGATAAAGTCAGAGATACCATTCCATGGAGGGCATAAGATAGAGGTGTCAATAATAAAATTAGCTAGAATAAAATGGCAGTCTGCATTTTATTTACTTAGGGGAGAACTGATTTAATTCCGAAACAGTCACTTCATTTCAAATAAAGAACTTACACATTTTTAAATGAAAATTAGTTACCTTTGTTTGACCATGGCTTAGAGTAATAATTTTTCCTAAAGCTGGAGTATGTAGTTGTAGAACCGCGCTCAAATATGGGGTCATTTTCTTCAACAACACAAGGGCCTTTCGTTCTCAAAACTTCTACAGTTAAACTGAAATAAATACATTTTTAAATAGAGCTATACTAAAAACAAGGAAACAAATAGTAAATGAGATGTAAATAGTTATATTTTGAGGTTTAGCATGGCAATCATATCAAAAGTATAATATTATTTATGTGAAATATGGGTATTTTCCAAGCATCTGCTAAGTTTTACCTAAAATGTGATTCCAAGAGAGTAGAAAGAAGTGTCAACTCATTTTCAAACTCCATAACAGCAATATATTTAAAAAATATCTTTGGGCTACGTATTATAAAAAGATATTTGTATTATTGATTTCTACATGTCTTTGATATTCAATATGTATTACTGTGCTGGAATCAACGGAAATTTTGAAAAACATAAGCACTTTATATTTTACCTTCCTGCAGACAAAGCAGTTAAACGTGCTCTATTAAATGACCAGTAAAATCATCATTACAAACTAATGGAAAACAGCACACAAAAACAACTATTATTAGCAGTATTACATTTATGTTTAATTATAGAATGTAAATGCTGTAAAATTATTTTTCACTAGCTAAACATTCAAAGACCTTCCATTGCTCTATTTATTTACTTACTAATTTATCACCTTTAAAAAAAAATACCCTTAAAACAACTAAATTCCACGATGCTCAATGTGAGAAATTTAATGTTATAACAAATTAAACCAGAAGATGAATTACACCGCACCGTAACAAAAATCATAAAATACGTTAAACCTACATTTCACTGTATATCCATCAGTTATCACCACATCAGGATATGTTAAAAATATGAGAACCTGAATATTGACTTCAAGACTGTGTCAATCAGGATATGTTAAAAATATGAGAACCTGAATATTGACCTCAAAACTGTGTCAATCTTAGAAATTTATCCTCAGTGGAAGACAGCATATGATTAGTTCAACAGCCTGACTCAATGACCAGTAAAGATGATAAAACAATGGTGTTAGGTTAATAGGAGATAGGGCATCTTCTCATACAAAACAGTAAAATTCACAAATTAATCTAACCCACTTTTCCATTTACAATATTCATTATGCAAATATAAATGTCAAGGTCTAAGTGACAAAGGCCGATATAGAAAGAGGACCTCTTTCACTAGACAAAGCATGTTTGTTCTCATGTAACTACAATCTCACTTTCTCTTTTTTAAATACCTTTCTTCATCCAAAATAATAGAGCCATCTTCTGCCACTTTTACTCGAGGAACCAGTAATGGCCCATCATCTGTCTCTTCTTCCATTTCATTATCTTCAGCATTAGCAGTACTCTTACCTTCTTGCCTACCAGATATAAAGATAAGTTAATTCACAAAGGCATAAAAGTAGTCCCTGAATAGTATAAAACTTAAAATAAATGATTACAAACTCAACCTTCTAGCTATTTCCAACTTTTCCTATAATCCAAATGAAAACAGTGTGTGTTGTTAAGGACACAATTAGAGGATTTTCTCAAGTTTTATCTCAACTCCTGGCCTCAAGTGATCTTCCTACCTTGGCCTCCAAAAGTGCTAGGATTACAAGCCTGAACTACCATGTCCTGCTTGTTTCTCTTCATTTTAAAAGAGAGTAAAGACTTCTTGGGCCAGGCGTGGTGGCTCATGCCTGTAATCCCAGCACTTTGGGAGGCCAAGGCAGGTGGATCACGAGGTCAAGAGATGGAGACCATCCTGATCAACATGGTGAAACCCCATCTCTACTAAAAATACAAAAATTAGCTGGGCATGGTGGCGCACACCTGTAGTCCCAGCTGCTCGGGAGGCTGAGGCAGCAGAATCACTTGAACCCAGGAGGCAGAGGCTGCAGTGAACCAAGATCACGCCACTGCACTCAAGCCTGGAAAAAAGCGGGCCCCCGTCCAAAAAAAAAAAAAAAAAAATTTAGCCAAGCATGGTGGCACACACCTGTACTCCCGGCTACTCAGGAGGCTGAGGCAGGAGGATCACTTGAGCCCAGGAGGTCAAGACTGCAGTGAGCTGTGTTCACATCACTGCACTCCAGCCTGGGTGACACAGCAATACCCTGTCTCAAAAATTAAATTAAAATTTTAAAATTACCAAAACAAAAGTCTAACCAAATGTAATTTTTTTTTAAGAGACAAAGTCTTGCTCTGTCACCCAGGCTGGAATGCAGTGGCATGATCATAGCTCACTACAGCCTTGAACGTGTGGGCTCGAGTGATCCTCCCACCTCAGCCTCCTGAATAACCAGGACTACATGTACACACCACCATGCACAGCTTATTTTCACATTTTTTGCAGAGATAAAATGTCACTATGATGCCCAGGCTGGTCTCAACCCCTGGCTTTGGGCAATCCTCCCATCTTGGTTCCGCAAACTGCTGAGATTACAAGAGTGAGCCACTGTGCCCGACCCCAGTCAAATGTAATTTGACTATAACAGGAAGCACCATTTGATCTCATTTAAAAAATGTAGCAACAGAATATATTCAAAAATAAAATAAAATACTTACTCTCTTGTCTGGACTGGAGTCGATGACTTTTCAGTTTTCTTTTCTTGTTCCAGTGAAGAACTATTGAACACAAATAACAATACCTTTAATAAATTATTAATCTATATCCTCTCAATTCTATCTGTAGGCAGAAGAAAATTATTCTAACTTCTAATTTTTAAAGATATGCCATAGCATTTTGTTAATGACGGTGCAATCCGACAACCGATTTTTCAGTCAAAAGCTTGTCATCACGTACAAATAATTTGTTAGGTCCTAAGTAGAGAATACTCTTTTTTTTTTTTTTTTAAAATACAACAATAGGGTCTTGCTGTGTCACTCAGGCTGAAGTGCAGTGGTGTGATCTCAGCTCCACGTAACCTCTACTTCTTGAGCGCAAGCAATCCTCCCACCTCAGCCTCCCAAGTAGCTGGGACTATAGGTGCGTGCCACCACACAGGGCTAATTTTTGTCTTTTAATTTTTTGTAGAGACGAGGTTTCACCATATCGCCCAGGCTGGTCTCAAACTCCAGGGATCATGCCATCCTCCCACCTTAGCTTCCCAAAACACTGGGATTACAGACATGAGCCACCACGCCCAGCAGAGAATGTTCTTATCCTCTAACTCCCCAGTGAAAGGAGGCTCCCAATCCCAAGGCATGAAGCCGCTTAGGTGACTTGTCTTCAACTCCTAGATGTTAAACAATTCAAAACCTAGGTTTCTGGCCCTTTCTTCAACAGGGCCAAAGACCTGGTGAATCTGAAAAAGGACTATGCTAAGGAACTGTCCCTACTCCTACCTCTACCTGCTAAACCATCAACAATACAACAATGAGAATTATAAACCTTCTGCCTCAGAAACCCCAGGCTAACTTTAATAAAGAAACTTTGTTCTTGGAGGATTTATTAATCACACTACTACTGTCTTTATTAGAAGGCAGGGCATAAAACTTCGATCACTCCTTTAGATCAGTTTATAGTATGTTAAAAATAGAAACTGCAATCCTTTCAAACTTTTTTTTTTTTTTAAATGAGACAGAGTCTCGCTGTCTCCCAGGCTGGAGTGCAGTGGTGCAACCTTGGCTCACTGCCACCTTGAACTCCCAGGTTCAAGTGATCCTCCCACCTCAGCCTCCTCCTATGCGCCACAATGCCCAGCTAATTTCTGTATTTTTTGTAGAGATGGGGTCTCACTATGTTGTCCAGGCTGGTCTCAAACTCCTGGGCTCAAGTGATCCTCTCGCCTTGGCCTCCCAAAATGCTGTGATTACAGGGGTGAGCCACCTCACCCAGCCAAAATTGCAATCTTGACTACAGAAAAGTGGCTTAGTTGGTTTTACTATGCCTTGGTAATTAAAATAACAAAGAAAAAAATTTTTTTTTAAACAGGATCTCGCTCTATCACCCAGACTGCACCCAGAATGCAGTGACATGAACATTGTTCACTGTAGCCTCAAATGCCAGGGCTCAAGCAGTCCTCCTGCCTCAGCCTCCCAAACAGCTGGAACTACAGGCACATGCCACCATGCCTGGCTAATTTTTGTATTTTTTGCAGAGATAGGGTTTCACCATGTTGCCCCGGCTGGTCTCAAACTCCAGGACTAAAGCGGCCCACCTGCTTTGGTCTCCTAAAGTGCTGGGATTACAGGCATGAGCCACTGCGCCCAGCGAGGAAATTTAATTTTAATCTCAGAAATAAAGGGCATAATTAAACATCCCCAGAAAGCAATTACTTGAAATACAGCTACTTTTGGTTATGAAATTATATTTAAAAGGACATATGTGTTCCAAATTTTGTCAACATACTTTTGGAAAACAAAAAACTGTACTATAAAAGTGATATTTATATAACTACATACCCAAAGAAAGTAAAACAGAAGGCCAGGCATGGTGGCTCACGCCTGTAATCTCAGCACTTTGGGAGGCCGAAGTGGGTGGATCACCCGAGGTAAGGAGTTTGAAACCAGGCAAGCCAACATGGCGAAACCCAGTCTCTACTAAAAATATAAAAATTAGCCAGATGTGGTGGTGAGCATCTGTAATCCCAGCTACTCGGGAATCTGAGGCAGCAGAATCACTTGAACCTGCGAGGCAGAGGATGCAGTGAGCCAAGATTGCACCACTGCACTCCAGCCTGGGTGACGGAGCAAGACTCTACCTCAAAAAAAAAAAAAAAAAAGAGATAGTAAAGCAGAAATAAATTTTACTTACGTCATTGGATTGTTATCTGGTAGATAATATATGAAGTCTCTCATAGTCATTTTTGAACGATCTGGTGGCCTCTGACTTTCATTTATAGCAAATTTGTTTTTCCATTGTTTCTGTATACATAAACACACACAGATCCACTTTTATAAATATTAAAGAATTTCAGACATACTATATGCAAATATACAGTCCACTGTTGCATTCACTATAAGTGCTCTAATATTATTCTCAACCCAGTTATGTAATTTTGTAGATGGAATATTAAAAAGTTGTAGCACATTACCCTTAATAGTTTTTAGTTTTTATTTATCTACTTTTGAGATGGGGTCTTGCTGTGTTGTCCAGGCTAGAGTGCAGTGATGCAATCATAGCTCACTGTAGCCTTGAACTCCTGAGCTCAAGCAATCCTCCCACCTCAGCCTCCCAAGTAGCTGGGATTACAGGCACGTGCCACCACACCTGGCTAATTTTGTGGGGGTTTTTTTGTTTTGTTTTGTTTTGGTAGAGATGGAGTCTCCCTCCGTTGCCAAGGCTGGTCTCAAATTCCTGGGCTCAAGGGATCCTCCTGCCTCAGCCTCCTAAAGCACTGGGATTACAGGAGTGAACCACACACCCAGGCAGCATTTAGATTTTAACAACTAAAGTGACTAGGACTAGATAAAAGCTCAATGTGGCCAGGCACAGTGGCTTATGCCTATAATCCCAGCACTTTGGGAGGCTGAGGCAGGAGGATCGCTTGAGCTCAGGAGTTACCAGCCTGGGCAACACAATGAGACCCTATCTCTACAAAAAAATACAAAAAAATTAGCTGGATGTAGTGGCATATGCCTATAGCCACAGCTACTTGGGAGGCTGAGGTGGAAGGATCACTTGAGCCTGGGAGGTTGAAGTTGCAGTGAACTGTAATCATACTAGCACACTCCATCCTGGGTGTGCTTGTCTCAAAACTAAATAAATAATAAAAGAATAAAACTAATAAAGCTCAATGTATAAAATGCTTACTGATGCCTTCTAACTAAACATCTTAATAGCTCACTGAGAATTTATGCTTACACAGCTTTTTTTTTTTCAGTGTATTTTGTAAAACTCTTGAAGCAAATGTTTAACCTTTAATTCCTCAAAATAAATTAAATACGCAAGTAAGCAGTTTCTGTAAAATATAGAACTTTTTTTTAATCCCCCACCCCCAATTCCCAACCCATAAAACATTTTTAGAAGCTCTTTTTTTTTTTTTTTTTTTTTTTAAGACATAGCCTTGCTCTGTCACCCAGGTTGGAGTGCAGCAGTACAATTTTGGCTTACTGCAACCTCTGCTGCCCAGGTTCAAGCAATTGTCATAAGGCTTACATTTTAGAAGACATAAATTCAAAGTTTGTTTTCTCCTGTGTAAAACAGTGATATCTACTTCACACAGTTGATATAATTACATAACATAATAGACATAAAGCACCAAGCAAAATGCCTTCCCTTAATTTAAAAAAAACTAAATAAAAGAAGCATTTTATAATTCATAACAGGAGCTGACACTGGTTGGGCACTTACTATTTTCAAGACACAGTTTTTCTGTTTGATTTTTTTTGAGACAGAGTCTCGCTCTGTCACTCATGCTGGAGTGCAATGGCGCAATCTTGGCTCACTGCAACCTCTGCCTCCCGGGTTCAAGTGATTCTCCTGTCTCAGCCTCCTGAGTAGCTGAGATTACAGGCATGCACCACCATGACCAGATAGTTTTTGTATTTTTAGTAGAGACAGCGTTTCACCATGTTGGCCAGGCTGGTCTTGAACTCCTGACCTCAGGTCATCCGCCCACCATAGCCTCCCAAAGTGCTGGGATTACAGGCATAAGCCACCACACCAGGCCCATTTTAAGTGTGTTTTACACGTATTGACTCATTTAATCTTCACAACCCTCCAATGAGATAGACAGAGGTTGAGCATCTCGTATCTGAAATACTTGAGACCAGAAATGATACACATTTTGGATTTTTTCACATTTTTGAATATTTGCAGAAGACATACTGGCTAAGCATCTCTAACCTGAAAATCTGAAATCCAATATGCTCCAATGAGCATTTCCTTGGAGCATCACTTTGGCACTCAAAACATTTTGGACTTTGGAGCATTTTCAATTTCAGGGATGCTCAACCTGAACTATTATTGGTCTTATTTTACAGATGAGGAAATAGAGTAATTAAATTACTCAAGGTCACATAGCTAGTAAAGAAATGAAGCTGAGGTTCAATCCTTAAGTATGTAACTCCAGGGCCAGCACACTCTACTGCTGTTACCTGCCCTTCTAGAAAAGAAATCAATCCTCAAGATTAAAAAGAACATGGACTCTACTATATGCATACCACAAATTTTTCCCACTTGTAATTTTCCATATTGTCAATTTAGAAAACATTACCAATTCATTCTGCTCAACTACATTTGTCTTTTTTTTTTTTTTGGAGACCGTTTCACTCTATCACCCAGGCTGGAGTACAGAGGCACAATCTCAGCTCACTGCAACTTCCACCTCCCAGGTTCAAGCAATTCTCATGCCTCAGCCTCCCCAGTAGTTAGGATTACAGATGCGTGCCACCAGGCCCAGCTAATTTTTGTATTTTTAGTAGAGACAGGGTTTTGCCATGTTGGCCAGGTTGGTCTTGAACTCCTTACCTCAAGTGATCTGCCCGCCTAGTGCTCCCAAAGTGCTGAAATTACAGGCATGAGCCACCAAGCCCAGCATATGCTTGCCTTACTTCAAATACATCGCTTGTCACTTGGATATCTTTATATGAAAAATCTGACTGAAGGTTTATTTTATAAATATGTTTGTGTATGTATATCTATGTGTATGTGTATGAAACTTATTTGTGACCGTTACTAAAAACAGTGAAAACATAAATAAATAATGTAAAAATTACTATCAGTGAAAAATGTAATTTAAGTCCATGGTGTATCAATCAATCCATTAACAAGAAGGGATGTTCTATTGACTAAGGGATGTTATGCGGTTTTGTTCCCCCATCAAAATGCTACAAATGCTTTTCTTCCCAATGATTCCTTACTAACATAAACAGAAGGCAACACCAAAATCCTGATTCTCCTCCCTTACCTTCTCTTTTCTCAATTCTTCTTTTAACATTTCCCTCAGTTTCTGGGCTTTGTATATTCGGTATCTGTCTGAGCATGGCTGTTTCTCTTTTGTTGAAGTGGCAGTTGGCTGTGCAGCCTCTTGATTAACTGTAGATAAGGGATGAGATTCTGAAGGAACACTGACACTAGCCTTAACCAGACTAGAAGTACTTGATATTCGCTTTCTTCTCTGTGAAACAGTAGGGGAAGATCTACTGGATTCTTCAACATCATTGTCACTACCAGTCTTTTCAGAACTGTTGAAATTAAAAAAGAAAAAAAGAGGGCACCATGAATCTTCTGTTATACATGCTAGTTTTAAAACTTAGTCTGGTGAAAATCCAAAACCGCAATCTCGTAATTAAAAAAAAATTAATAACTTGAGATGTATGATAATTATGACAGGTTACAAAAAAATTTCTTTAGTAAATCTTTTAAATATATATAAATTCTAATAGACTCTTAATCTTTTCCAAACATAAAGTCCCTAGGCACATTAGAACACATAATTATAGGCTTAGTTCCCTCAAAACAACCAAGTTACAGAACAAAGCTTAATCAACCTAATTTGAATTACTAAGTAAAAAAGTAGTAATTTATAATTAATTTATATATAAAAATAAAAAAATTTTAATTCACTCTGACATTTTAAACTGGTCTAAACTACCGGCATTTTACTTAAACCAGAGGTCAAATCAAATATGCAAAACTTCAAACCTCTGAAATACCTATATTGCAGTGTTTGAAGAAAAACATTTAGTTACAGTAGCCAAACCCAGTTCCCTTTGAGGCAGAAATCATTTATCTTTTGTCAGGTACAACGCTACTTATACAGCCATCAGAATAAACTCTTCCGTCAAAAAAAGTACTGAGTCACCCCAAATTGCATATTAGATATGGTACACCTCAGATATAAATATTTCAGGAATGGTCTATAAATGCAACTTAAGTCAAGAAAAGAGGTAGTATAAGTCAATAATTTAAAAGTCTACTTTTTTCATATTTTACAATTACTTATAAAAAAATTAGAAAATGCCTTAACTTACAGAATAACCTTTCCAGGAAGACTTCAATTTAAATTCGTATCTTAGCTGTTATGACAATGTGATACATGCATTATCTGCATTTCACTCAATAATGTTGAGTGCATAATGACAGAATATATATCCTATAGATTTTTGCAACTAGCAAAGACCCACAAAAAATTTATAAAAAGAGGCCGGGCACGGTGGCTCACGCCTGTAACCCTAGCACTTTTGGCTGAGGCAAGTGGATCACTTGAGGTCAGGAGTTTGAGTACAGCCTGGCCAACATAGTAATTATCTTCTCCTTTAAAAAATAAATACTTTATATTTTGAAAGACAAAAACACTTCCCTGCAAAGCACTCCAGAAGGATGAAAACTATGGTGACCTAAACTCTCAAATGAATAGTGTGGCTATTCTTCACTTCAGGACTGCCATACCCCGATTCTTCCCACCACCACTTGGAAGACATGGTCTCCTCTCGGAGAATCTACAGCCCCTGACAAAATCCACATAAGCCACACCCTGCAGGTCAGACAACCGAACTGCAGTTTGGAGTGGTTTCATCAAGCCTCAACTGAAAGGCTTACTGCAAACGACGGCGGACTCCTATGATAAAATTCATTTGCTCAGCTTCCAGGTGACAGGCCGGAGAGGCGGGGCAAATGAAAATTCTTCCCTCTGCAAGCTCTTACCTGCTCCTAGGAGCCTTTTCTTGGGGCTCCGCTCCACCGAAATCGACTGCGGGTACATCTGTGGGCTCCGCTGGCTTGGAAGCAGTGTCCGTGGCAGGCTCCGGCGGCCTGGGAGACTCCTGTCCACGCTGGGGATTGGGAGCTGTGGAGCCCCTGGCGCCTACACTAGGCCTGACATTCGGCTTCACGCTAAGGCGTGCCCTGCGGAACATGGCGGAGGCAGGGGGCCCGGGGAGGCAGCCTTGACGGCCGCTCACAGCCCCGAGCCCCGGTGGCTGCCCGAAAAGGGGATTAGGAACTACGCCCTCCCCACAAAGCCACACTACCAGCCCAGGGGGCAGCTACCGCAGTTTCACTCCGCCGCCGCCGCCTCCTCCGCTCTCCCGCCGCCGCCGCTTTTTCATGACCCTGCCACACACTGATGGCTAAATTTCACCCTCCTCCCAGCTCCCCCGCCCTCACAGGGCGCCGGAACTGATTGCGCCATCAGCCAGCGCCGCAGAATGACGTCAGACGCACAGCACTGGGAGCCATGGTAACTACCAAGCCACTGAGACTGGGTTACCTGCGGACCAGAAATTGAGATGCAGAGATATTTGCTCTTTCTTCTCCAGAAGTCCTTAGGAGTAGTTGAAAAGAGGAAAAGAAGAAAGTCGACTTCTCAGCTCAAACCTTTACTGGAAGTATTAAAATCGCTGGCCGATTTTGTTTTTAGAAGGTCATGAAGGGTTTAGAAATTCTAAATTGAGTAGACATAGATTAAATGCTGGTGTGAAGAAACTGATAATAGTTACCTCCCAGGAGAGGAATGGGTTTCTGGAAAACACATCGTGGTAGGAAGACTATTTACCGTACGCTCTTGTGTACTTTTTTGTTTTTTTCCTTTGAGACAGGATCTTGCTCTGTCCCCTAGGCAGGAGTGGTACAGTAGCGCGATCTTGGCTCACTGCAGCCTCCACTTCTCGGGCTCAGGCGATTCTCCCGTCTCAGCCTCCCAAGTTGCTGGGACCACAGGCGCGCGCCACCAGAAACGGCTAATTTTTTTTTTTTTTTTTTTGTATATTTACTGGAGATGGGGTTCATCATGTTGCCCAAGCTGATCTTGAACTCCTGGGCTCAAGCGATCCACCCGATTTGGCCTCCCAAACTGCCGGGATTACAGACGTGAGCCACCACGCCCAACCTCCTTGTGTTCCCTTTTTTTTTTTTTTTTTTTTTGAGATGGAGGAGTCTCGCTCTGTCTCCCAGGCTGGAGTGCAGTGGCGCGATCTCCGCTCACTGCAAGCTCCGTCGCCTCCCGGGTTCACGCCATTCTCCTGTCTCAGCCTCCCGAGAAGCTGGGACTACAGGCGCCCACCACCACGCCCGGCTAATTTTTCTGTATTTTTAGTAGAGACGGGGTTTCACCGTGTTCGCCAGGGTGGTCTCAATCTCCTGACCTTGTGATCCGCATGCCTCAGCCTCCCAAAGTGCTGGGATTACAGACATGAGCCACCGCACCCAGCCCTTTGTGTACTTTTTAATATGAATGTATCACCCGAGATCTTGCCACTGTACTCCAGCCTGTTTAAAAATTATTGTAGTTGAAACTTTGTAAATTATTGTGAGTATTCTTAATCTGCTTCAGGAGGTAGCAGTAAACAAGACGTTCTGGATTTGGGAGGAGAAAATACAAAAAAGAAATGAACAAGATATTTTTAAAATGTATCAGGCCAGGCATGGTGGCTTATGCCTGTAATCCCAGCACTTCAGGAGGCTAAAGCAAGGCAGATTGCTTGAGGTCAGGAGTTCGAGACCAGCCTGGCCAACGTGGTCTCTACTAAAAATACAAAAATGAGCCAGGCCTGGTGGTGCAAGCCTGTAATCCCAGCTATGGGAGGCTGAGACAGGAGAATCGCTTGAACCCTGGAGGTGGAGGCTGCGGGAGCCAAGATGGCACCACTGCACTCCAGCCTGGGCGACAGAATGAGTGAGAATGTCTTAAATGAATTAATTAATTACAATAAAATAAAATGTATCAAATGTCGTGAAAGAAATTTAAGGGTTGAACGCTGGGCATGGCGGGGCACGCCTATAATCCCAGCTACTGAGGAGGCTGAAGTGGGAGGATCTCTTGAGCCCAAGACTTCCAGATCAACCTGCTCAAAATATTGAGACCCCTAAAACAAATTACCCACATGTGGTGGCTGTGATGGCTGCCACCTCTAGCCCCAGCCACCCGGAAGGCTGAGGCAGGAGGTCCAGGCTGCAGTGAGCTATGATAGTGCCACAGCCCTCCAGCCTGGGTGACAGAGAAAACCTCATCTCTAAAACAAAAATGTAATAATAAGAAGAAAAAAAAAGGCCGGGCGCAGTGGCTCAAGCCTGTAATCCCAGCACTTTGGGAGGCCGAGACAGGTAGATCACAAGGTCAGGAGATTGAGACCATCCTGGCTAACACGGTGAAACCCCGTCTCTACTAAAAAATGCAAAAAACTAGCCAGGCGAGGTGGTGGGCGCCTGTAGTCCCAGCTACTTGGGAGGCTGAGGCAGGAGAATGGCATGAACCCAGGAGGCGGAGCTTGCAGTGAGCTGAGATCCAGCCACGACAGAGTGAGACTCCGTCTCAAAAAAAAAAAAAAAAAGAAAAAAAAAAATGTACGGGACAATGTGATAGAAATTAATGGGAGGGAGGCTGGCAGTAGAGTGGCTAGGGAAGTCCTCTATGATGAGAGGAAAAATAGCCAGAGCTGAGGTTGGCCTTGGAGGTATTGGGCCAACGTTTGAACCAGTGATACAAATCCCCTGACTCATGGGAACACAAAGGTGTGACTTTCTTCTTGGAAGGAAAAGAAAATCCTACAAGCATATGGTAATACATTAATAACAAAATGTCAAGGAATAAAATCCTGAACTGACTGAAGAAATAGATCACCTAAAGGGAGAACAAAAAAGAGGCAAGTGCTTTTGAGAGTAGGAAGGCAAGACTGAAAGTAGAGAAGAGAAAAGATATGTCTCTAAGACTATGAAGAAAATGAAGGTCTGGAGGCCAGGCACAGCTCGTGCCTGTAATCCCAGCACTTTGGGAGGCTGAGGCGGGCGAATCACTTGAGCCCAGGAGTTCAAGACCAGCCTAGCCAACATGGTGAAACCCCATCTCTACCAAAAATACAAAAATTAGCTGAGCATGGTGGCTTGCGCCTGTAATGCCAGCTACTCAGGAGGCTGAGGTTGGAGGATTGCTTGAGCCTAGGAGGCAGAAGTTGCAGTGAGCCAAGATCACACTACTGCACTCCAGCCTGGGTGACAAAGTGAGACCCTGTCTCAAAAAAAAAAAAAGAGAGAGAGAGGAAGAATGGAAGGGAAGGGAAGGGAAGGTCTGTGGATTCTGTGGGCTCCCTGCAATACTCTGGAAAAGGAACGGGATCTCAGTTTTATCTAAAGAAGCTCAAGAATTCGAGAGAATCCCCCGCTACAGATGTCTCAGGAATCTTGGAGGACTACACAGCTTTGAACAGCATATTCTGATACAAACCGAAGACACAGGGCCTTTCCCCAGATGGGCTTCTGTTCCACTTAAGAAACTAGGGCATTCTCCCAAGTTTTTACAGGTCAGAAAGTAAATAGTGACTAAGATTCAATTTCCCACCAGTAAAGGGATGGGATCAGAATCAGATTAAGTTTTATTATTAAATATAAAGCCATAAGACATTTGTTACACAAGTTTGTGGGGTAAATTCTCAGTGGCATCATAGTAATTTTTTAAATCTCTACTTTTCTCTGAGAGACATACCCAACACGTTTTGTGTACATGGGGTATATCATGTGTAGCCCTACGACTTAAAAACTGCAAAATTTTTCAGCTGCAAATAAAAATGTTCAGTGACATTATATTGAGAGAACATACAAAAACAACTCTACCACCTACCGGCCGGGTGCGGTGGCTCGCGCCTGTAATCCCAGCACTTTGGGAGGTCGAGGCGGGCAGATCACGAGGTCAGGAGATCAAGACCATCCTGGCTAACACGGTGAAACGCCATCTCTACTAAAAAAAAATTAGCCAGGCGTGGTGGCGGGCATCTGTAGTCCCAGCTACCGGGAGGCTGAGGCAGCAGAATGGCGTGGACCCAGAAGGCAGAGCTTGCAGTGAGCTGAGATCGCGCCACTGCACTCCAGCCTGGGTGACAAAGCGAGACTCCATCTAAAAAACAAAACAAAACAAGCAAACAAAAAACCAACTCTACCACTTACCTTCCAATCCCGCCCCATTCCCTCTTTAGATGATCTTATCTCTAAAGATCTAGTAATCCTAGCTACTGGGAGGCTGAGGCACAAGAATTGCCTGAACCGGGGAGGCTGAGGCTGCAGTGTGCCAAGACTGCACCAGTGTACTCCAGTCTGGGCAACAGAGTGAGACACTGTTTCCAAAACAAAACAAAACACGGTGCTAGAAAGTCAATCTTTTCCTTTCAAGTTACTTCACTCAGTGGAAACAGATGTTAGCAGTATTAAGGAAGAAAGGTGGGGTGTGGGGATAGGATAGTGATGTGTGCCAGGCTCTCTGAATTTGAAGGAATAATGACAGTAAGAGCTAACATATTGAGTGCTACCATATGCTGGGGACCTAGTACTTCACATACATTAATTCAGTTAATGAAGGAGGTACATGCCTCCCCATTTTACAGATAAGAAAGCTTTAACATAATGAAATAGTGTCCAAGTTGGCATAGCTACTAATTAGTAGAGATGGACTTTCAACCCAGACAGTTCATCTCCAGAGCTCCTCAGTCTTTACTTTCTCCATCTTCTCTAAAATAGACGATTGTATGAGGTAATAATTGAAGTTTGGTCGCATCTCCTTGAGGATTCGTTATCCTTGTTACTAATGCTTTCGTACTGTATAAATGTCAGATCTTCCAAAAATAAAAGTTTTTAAAATATAGGGCAATGTGGGGTATCCAAATCATCTCAGTTTGTAACAATGTTATCTTTTGTTTTTATTCTTGTGTATGTGTGACAATGACAGAGGTGAACAATGTAATTATATGCCACATGAGCCATAGAAGCATCTCTACACGTGTTTCTACCAATGACGGATGGTCCACAGCTTTTATGTAGGTTCCGAGGTTATTCTGGGCTATTCTGAATGGCGGTTAAGACTGCACTCCCTGCCATCCTCTCCCCACCAAACAACCTAAGCACAGAGTCAGTAGCCTAAAACTAGTAAAGCACTGTGGATCGTGACAAGGGCACTGGGATAAACTGGAAAATAAATAGGCTTTAGAGTCCGTCTTAAATTTTGTTCTCATAACAATTCCTACTCGGTTAAGTCTGTCTCTTCTGCAAAATGAAAACAATGAAACCTACCTTGCAGGGTTGCGTTTAGAATGAGGAAGGAAAATATGTAAAGGATAAGCAGTGCCTTTTGCAGAGTTACCCTCAATCTGTTCAGTTCCCATCCACCACTCTCCGCCTCCGCAAGGGGATGAATG